TCATTAATTGTTAAGAGTTTTGTAAAATTTACATTTACAAAATAATAGTCGGTTCAAATCAGAAAAAAAAAAGAAAAAAGAAATGTGCACCCAGAATCATCATAAGAAAAAAAATACAGAACATAATATATTAAATATTAAATTATTCAATAATATACTGTATCATATAACAATGGAAATCGAATCCAAATTGTTAAAGAGAGAGAAAGCAGTGTGAAAAAAAGATTAATCTAAAAGAAGGCAAGAAAGGACAGAAAAGGCAAGAAAAAAGGAAAACACAAAATAAGATGGTAGAAATAAATATATCAATAATTACAGTACATTAAATTTAAATATTTCAAGAGCTGCATTTTAAAGACAAATATCATCAGACTGGGTAAACAAAATCCATCTACTAGCTCTTTACAAGAGACATATAAAAGCATAAATATGCAGAAAGGTTGAAAGTAAAAGGGTGGAGAATGAGGTACCAGGTAAATACTAAATAAAAGAAAGCTTATATAGCTATATTAATATCAGACAAAATATATTTTAGGGGAAAAACATTATTAGAGATAAAAAGGTAACTATAAGATATTCAATTTCCCAATAAGGTACAACAATTCTAAACTTTTAAAAATACAATAACATAGCTTCAAAAATGAGCTAAAATTGATAGAATTACAAGGAGAATAAGACATTCACTCTCATGAGCTATTTCAACACCCATTTTTGTTATTGATAACATAAGCAATAGAAAATCAATAAGGATACAAAAATTTGAACAACACAATTAACAATCTTGATCTAATGAACGTATTTAAAACTCTATATCAAATGAGTATAGAACGTATGGTGTTTTCAAGCGTCCATGGAATGTTTACAAAAACGGGCCAATGAAAATTAAACGCAGAGCTGGCTGGTTAGCTGTTGGTTAGGCACGGTGCTGATAACACCAAGGTCTGAGGTTCGATCCCTGTACTGGTCAGTGAAGAAAAAAAAAAAAAATTAAATGCTTTGGCCATAAAGCATTAGTGAAGAAGAAATTACAATGGAAATTAGAAAATATTTAGAGCCAAAAGGTGATGAAACTATGGGATGCAGTTAATATCATATTTGGAGAAACAGCCTGCCCTTCCTGATGGCCTGCCCTACAGATTTCTGACTTGCCAGCCCCCACAAATGCATAAGCCAATTCCTTAGGATAAATCTTCTTAACATACATATGCTACTGGCTCTCTTTCTCTGGTTGAACCCCAATACATAACAGATTTGGGGGCTGGAAGTGGTTCTAGAGGAACAGAATCTATAGATGAGTTTTCTGAATAGATTTTGGTTTTTCTGGAATTCTCTAGTCTGACAAGACTTAAAGGCACTGATGACTTTCCAGTGTCAAAGAGAGCATGGGGGGCCGGCCCGGTGGCGCACTGCTACAGTGCGCTGCTTGGGAGCGCAGCGGCGCTCCCGCTGAGGGTTCGGATCCCACATACAGACCAGCCGCTCACTGGCTGAGCAAGGTGCGGGTGCAACACCGAGGGCTGCGATCCCTTTGCCGGTCCCGGTCCGGTACGGGTGCAACACTGAGGGTTGCGATCCGTTGCCGGTCACGAAAAAAGACAAAAAAAAAAAAAAAGAGAGCACGGGTAGTCCATGAAATCAAGTGCCATTAGAGGTACACAAAATATCGCCATTGGAACCTGCAGACAAGGTTTGAGTGACCATGTATATGATACCCTGGAACATTTCAGTCAAACTAATGAGTACAGCAAGACTGGCTGGCTGCTCCTAAATGTGCTGAACAAAGTGAGAAAAGGAAATGATGAGCTCGGAGCTTCAAATTCTCAGCTCAGGTCATAAAATCTCCTAAAAGCTTCTATGCCTGCCCTGAAAGAGACCCTTATCTTCATTAGCTGGAGGGCTGAGATTGCTGAAAACCCCAAGCCAGAAATATCATCTTGCAAGTGACTGAGTTACACCACAGACTGAATTTGCAGTCTTTCGGGGTGTCTTCTGCCGAAGTGGGGGCACTGATTGTGAAGGAGTGGGATCCTGAAAGTTGGAATGCAATGTGTGGGAAGACCTGGATGGAACTGGAGACCTTGAGAAAGGTGACCCACCTTTACCAGCACTTGTCCTACTTCCTCTGATTGGACCCGCCTGAGTAATGTACCCAAACCTGAAACAATTAGTGTGACCTGTGGGAAGAGAAGGCTTTTTGGCTTAAACCATTCAGGCTGTAAATCTGGATTTGGAGATGGGATCAAATCCCAAAGCACATGGCTGAACATTGGTGGTGGGGGTGGGACTGCAGTTCTCAGTGGAAATTCTGAGTACTTTTACCTGGAAACGGAGGAATAGATGAGTGAGGACTTGTAGTATTTCTCTTTCCTTGTCTGGCTTATTTCACTTAACATAATTTTCTCCAGATTCATCCATGATGCTGCAAATGGCAGAATTTCATTCTTTTTTATGGCTGAGTAGTATTCCCTTGTGTAGATATACCACATTTTCCTTATCCAGTCATCTGTTGATGGATATTTAGGGTCGTTCCATATTTCGGTTGTCATAAATAGAGCTGCAACGAACATGGGAGTGCAGGTGTCCCTTTGACATGATGACTTCCATTCCTTCGGATATATCCCTAGTAGTGAGATTGCTGGATCATATGGTAGCTCTATCTGTAGTTGTTTGAAGAACCTCCCTACTGTTTCCCACAATGGCTGTGCTAATTTACAGTCCCACCAACAGTGTAGAAGAGTTCCCCTTTCCCCGCATCCTTGCCAGCATTTGTTGTTCTCAGTCTTTTTAATAACGGCCAGTCTAACTGGGGTGAGATGGTATCTCAATGTGGTCTTGATTTTAGGCTCAGATTCTTGCTGATCTTTGACTTGAGGGAGTCAGAATTCTCCTTGTGGGGAGTTACATAAGTTTCCACTACCTTCCAAAAGGCAGGTTCTAGGATGTGTGAAAATTGGAGGGAGTGGCTGGAGACAATGGGGTTGAGTGTAGTTAATTTTTGCAGGGAAATGAGTGGAATCCATTCAGGTTCTCAAGTTTTCAGATGTGCAAGAAGCAGCCTGACATGCTGGCCTGCAGACAGGAGCTGGTGATCAGATAGAGCTGTGAAACCCAGATTTGTGGGGTAACTTCATCCTACTTGCAAATGTCATATTTAGCAACTGTCGTATTTAGACACTTGGCAAAATGTCATATTAGCAAGTATCATATTTAGATGGCTGGCCGCTTAACTCAGTTCTTTAGAGCACAGTGTTGATAACACCAAGGTCAAGGGTTCAAATCTCCATACCAGCCAGCCACCAAAAAAAAAAAAAAAAAAAAAAAATCATAGTTAGCAAATGTCATACCTAGACACTGGGTTATCAGGAGAAACAGAACAAATAGGAAATTGGCTTTATTACTTATTATGGGAATTGGCTCATGTAATTATGGGGGCTGAGAAGGCCCACAATTTGCCATCTGCAAGCTGGAGAATCAGGAATGCCAGTGGTTTAATTCAGTCTGAATCCAAAGCCTGAGAACCAGAGAAGCCTATGGTGTAACACTCAGTCCTAGTCCAAAGGCCTGAGAACCTGGGTCTGGGGGGCTGGGGGTGGGTGCTGCTGTAACTCCCAGAATGTAAAGGCCTGAGAACCAGGAGCTCCAACGTCCAAGGGCAGGAGAAGATGGATGTCCAGCTCAAGAAGAGAGAGCAAATTCATCCTTCCTCTGACTTTTTGTTCTATTCATGCCCTCAGTGGATTGGATGATGCCCCACCTCACAGGTGAGGGTGAGCTTCTATACTCCATCTGCTGATTTAAGTGTTAATCTCTTTCTGAAACACCCTCATAGACACTCTCAGAAAAATGCTTTACTAGCCCTCTAAGCCCAGTCAAGTTGACACATAAAATTAACTGTGGGGAACTGTGTGTTCTCATGATGACCCCCTGAGTTGCAGAGCCAAAAGGACAGACTGCCAACTTCCTGATGAGGAAGTGGTGGCGGGCTGAGCACGGAAAAAGCTGAGGCTGTGGCCTAGCAAGTTTGTGAAAACTGCATGCTCTCATTTATGACTGCTGATTAAAATCTAGTTGGCCGACCACAAGAACTAAGCTGTGCTCGGGTGTGATGATTCTGAGAAGACTTCTGAACAACTTCTGTTTTTTGAATTTGATTCGTGAGCCTATACAAAATAAGGAACAAGCGCCCAATATTAGTGAGACTGTGGCTCAGACTGAAAAAATTTTGTGGGCGTCTTCTAAACCCCCATCCCATGCTTCTTCCCATCCTCAGCCTGCTCAAGAGGTAGATCTAATTTCATTACATGATGAGGACCCCCTCAAGTCTCCCAATGAGCCTGTAAATAAAGACTCCTCCGATTCTGATTCTTCGGAGATAGATTGGGGTGAGCTTGACGAGGAGGCTGCCAAGTATGAATCAGAAAAGTATGACTCCCCCGTGGTGGTGGCTGCCGTTAAGGCACCCTCACCCTGCTGTCCTCCTTATAATTCCCCTTCACCTCCATTCCCTCCTTTTGGGTCTAATCCTTTGACTATGTTAGAGACCAAAATCCAACAATTATAAAAACAAGTTTTATTGGAGGAGAAGTTACAAACTTTAACTGTCCGCCTGCAAGAAATACAGGCTGGACGTTTAGCTAATCCCCATCCCCCTGTGCCACAGTGTTCTGCGGCACCTCCTGGGACTCTTACACAGTCCTCCACAGTTTTTCCTGTGCTTGAGTTTGCTCCTACGGTGCCCGGGGGACAGCCTGTTCGGCGCCACATTGTTTTCAGTATCACTTTTTTAAAGGAACTGAAGGAGGCTGTGTCTAAATATGGGCCCACTGCTCCATATGTTTTAACACTGCTAGAGACCACTGCAGAGGCATGGCTTGCTCCGAATGATTGGACCACCCTGGTCAGGTCCACTTTGTCTGGGGGTGATTACTTGTTGTGAAAATCAGAGTATTTTG